TTTTAAAAATTTCAATACAAAATAAGGATATTGTTACGGCAAAATATCCAAGCAAAAAATAGACATGAGCGAAACAGCTCTTTTGTGGAATCGGATCAGAACTCTTCGCTACTGATCAAAATCAGTTCTTTTTTTATGACTCACTAGCAATAATTTTAATGAATAAGACTGGGAACAGGGAGAAAATCGAGAAGAACATGCGATCCTGGAGAGAAGAGCGGAAAGAATCAAACAAACACTAAGATCATTCCAATCAACTAACTCCTTGGACTGATTTCTTTCAGCTGAGTATATGAGATTATGTAAAACCTCTTTTCTGAATAGAATTATCAAAAAATTCTGAAATAAAAGAAGTATTCAAAAAATTGAGAAATTATATAAATTAAACTTGCTCAAAATATGGAAGGAGAAATATTCCTTTCTTTCTACACTTTCCTACACTGGTGCAATTCAGGCAAAAATTCTCAGTAGGATAACATTAAAGAAGTTTTTACTTTGTTTTAGCAAATAACCTTTCATTCAATCAGTAAACTGAACCAATTCTTTGAATCAATTCATAAACGATTACTGCTGAAAACATCGCACAGAAAACAATACAAGGCAAAGGCGGCGTAGCACAAAACACCATGCGAGAAAAGATAGCAAAGAGAAAATATTGCTGTTCTAAAACATCATGGTACAAAATATTGTGGTAAAAATAAAACAGTTCAAAAACTTTGCAGTTTAAAACATCATCGTCAAAAATATTGGGCTAAGAATTAAGTACCTACAAATCATCGCATGACAACAATATTGCACTCATGTGTCAAGTTTTAAAAGTTGTAAATGCTAGAAAGAGAATGAAAGTGTTAATGACACTTTAAGAATAAACGGAAACAAAACAAACTATAATTTTCACTAAAACAATAGCCGATTAACAAATGTAATAATTACAATGAAAATAATTTGATAATTAAGCAATTTGTGTAAAGTTAACCTCATGCAGTTATTTATCTTCCTTTTTATAAACATTTTTAGACTGTATTTTTCCATGAAAAATTATAAGTAAAAATTTATAAAAAAGATTGAGTTATTAATAACCTTTGTTAATTAACTATGTAAATTCAAAATTAAGTGCTATAAGCTGCATTAATTTTCTTTTCATTTCTAGTTTTCAAATGCTTAAGTTTCCTTCTTACTTTTTCAGCAAAAAGTTATTATTTCGTTCAAAAATAAGAAATATAGAAGTAAAAATAACCCTCTTTCCTTCCCAAATCCTTGCATTATGTGAAAATGCACTTATTTTTAAAATCTGAAAATGCATGTGTGCGATGTTATTCTCATGTGATGATTTGTAGGTACCTTATTTTTTGCCACAATATTTTTTACGACAGTGCTTTTAAACTGCTTTATTTTCAACCACAATATTTTGTACCATGATGTTTTCTCTTTGCTTTCTTTTCTCCCATGATGTTTTGTACTATGACGTTTTCACCTTGCCTTGTTTTTTCCACGATATTTTCAGCAGACACCTCATAAGCACAGCTAGTAAAAAAATGATAAAACAAAAATATTATCAGCCCCTCCCATAAAATTGATTGCAGGTATGCTAATAATGCTAAAGAGAACTTTTTTCGCTAATAAAACAAACAGGCAGTTTATTAAAAATATAATTAGAGGAATGGGCATGTCCACAATCTGTTTAATAGGAAAAAAGAAGTTGCTGAAAAGTAACGGTGATTAAAAATACCAGGAAACTAGATAAAAAATGTAATTTTTTTTTAATTTAAAATTTACTGAAATGTGAAAAGAAAGCAATTAATTGTGAAATATAATACATGCACACACACATATCTAATTGTTACATAAAAGAAGAAAATAAATGGAATACTTCATGTATAACACACATTGCTGTTAAGTAAATTCGTAATAAAGTATCTTTTTAAATACATAAAAAAGCAAAAACAAGCTTTATCACTTTATACATAACATAAAAATCTTATAATTATATAATTAATATAAAATTATGTAAAAGATCAATTGATGTAAAGTTTTAAGTATAATTATAATAATAAACTAATGTAAAATTATTATATGTTACATACAACTCTGTTAATTATGCAATTACAGAAATGAACACTTATTTTCAGCATTTAAAATTTTAAAAATAGCTCAGTTGTATTCAAATGCATGTTCTGCTGGTTCACAGAAAATTTAAACACTGGCTCCGAGCATTCGAGCTAGTTACACATAGTCAAAAAGTTGTAAAATCATTAACAATAAAAAATCTGAAATGTAGTCAAATTGAAACAGGCAATAAATTAAGCTTTTCTTGTTTGCCAGACTTTTCAGAATATAGAAATATAAATATGAATAAAGAAATAAGAAATATATTTCGTAAGAAAACATAACATTCTTATGTAATAAAATTTAGTATCTGTTGCATTTCAGTACATGATTTCTGTATGCAGTTTCATTGGCTGTCACCAAATATATCTTCGGTGACAACGTATCCCTTCATGTGCAACAATTATGACTCCCAGTGCAGGGGCCACATACATGTATCTGACATGCTGGAGATATATCTCCTTGTGCAGAGGAACAGGCACAAGCACTAAAAATACATGTTCAGAGAAATGTCTTTTCATGTAGACTTTCATGACCAAACTCTGGGAAATACTGCCAAGGCAGTATCAGTATTGACCCAGAATATAAACACAGTATAATCGCAGTATCTCTATTTTTTAATGCTAATCAGGCAGAGTATGGTAACCATTCTCAGTTAGAATGTTGACACAAGCATCTTTTTCACTGTTATATACACATAGGCATCGTACTATCCATATAGTGTTGTTGCCAAACTGGTTTGGGATTCATTTTCGTATGTTGCTTTTTTTTTTTTTTTTTTTTTTTTTTTTTTTTTTTTTTTTTGTACTGTTCTGTTTCCGGGGCTGGGTTCAGAAATGTGTTTATGTGTATAAGTACATATATGCATGCATACATGAATACATACATCCATCCATACATTTCTGAACTCTGTGCTTATAACGAATTCTTGTCCTTTTACTCCTTTACAAGTAAAAAGGAAGATTGCAACGCAAAAATTCTCCATCATATTTCAAAAAAATCCATTTAACGCTATTGATGCATTTAACGATGTTTTGCATGAAATCTGATGTAAACTCTTTTCCCAAAAAAATATAAAACTGATTAAGATAAATTCTGAAGAGAATTTTCGTGTACGTATATATCTCCATACCTCAAAAACGAGTAACCTCAGAACGTTGAAATTTTGTATATAAGACTGCTATAACATTAGATGTGCCCCGGGTAGCTAGAGGGGGGCTGCCCGGGTGCAGGATAAAGGGCGCCAAACTGATGTTACGACATTTTAGAATTAAATGTTCCATCCTGGCAAGCAGAAGGGAGCGCAAAATCTTCGTTGTCCTGGGCGCTGAAAAACCTAGCATGACTCTGTGTGCACCTGTATTTGGTTGCAAAAGTATATTTTATTTACATACTAATCAGTATTTCTCTTTATATAAAAGTATATAAATAGATGTAATTTATATCCACTCTGTTGCTGGCTCATGATCGCAGTTTCTTTATTCTTTATATTTGTAAATGTGCATTTTTTGCTTAAAAAATGATTGAATTATGTTGTTCTTATCTTCCGGTTAAGGTTTTTATGCCTTTGGTTAACCTACATGCAATAATTGTGGAATTATCAACAATTTAAAAGTTTTTCAAGTGTGGCTAAGCCTAATATCTGATTACTATGGTGCCCATGTTTGTTTACATTTAAACGTACCAGAATAGTGGATTTGTTGCCAATGTAGAGAAACTAAGCTTCTCAACAACAAAGTAACGTCTTCTTTTATTATTCCAAATTAAATTATGCTTAATTCATTATGGAATTAACATTTAAGTTTTTAGCTTATTTTTACATAGAAACTGTAACTTTAATTGTAAAAAAATGTTGTTTTTTTTAACTGAATTAATTAGTAGCGCATACGCATTAAATAAGCGGCACTGAATCATCTGCAAAAACTTTTTTTTATTATTATTTGTTTAATTTCTTTTATATATCATTTTTGATTTATTATAGTATTTGAATAGAACTTATGGTTATTCTTCAGACGATATCAGTTTTGTGCACTCTGAGTTTTAAAATGAATGTTAATGCTGTTAAGTGAACATAATGCCAAAATGATGCTATGGTAAATAAATATACTGAACTTTAAAGAGTGCATTTATTCTATTGTAGTTTAAGCGCTATCGACGAAGTAGATTTAGTTCAAAATTTGTTAATTGTTACTTCAATATGTTTAAATAAAATGCGGGAAAATTGCATATAATTTAATATTCCATACAAGGAGGTCATGTGGTGTACACATCAGATTTTTTTTTTCTTTCCCTAACCTTTTTTTATTGTTTTATCCTGTGTTGTTATACACTGAAACTCTGAAAAATGAAATTTTATATTTACTATATTTCAATTTTTTCTGTAGACTTCAGTTGTTCCCCCTCTATTTTCAAGCTGTTTTAAAAAATGTTGTTGTAATATTAAAGTAAATTAGTTCTTTTTCATGACATGCCCACCTATATGTGAAAAAAGTGGCTTAAAATTATTTGTAATGTGCTATATTTAATGAGAATTAAACTACAGAATCCCTCAGTTTTATTCTTATTAAATCTGTAGCTATTTCTCATAAGTCCCTGATATTGTTTGTTTACAACAATAAAGTAATAAATTACTGTACATATAAAGCAGAGGATTGAAAAATGTAAAGAAAGTTGTAAAAGAAATGTGTGATCTATAAGCTTATAATATGTAAAATGGTTTTCAGGTAATATATAATAAATTATGTTCTGAATTTTGTATTGCAATGTCGTAATTGAATTTTAATGTCATTCTTCCTTGTACTAAATCACATTTTTCAATTTTAGAAAATAATTTATTACAATGTATGAGGAGGAAAACTAACCACTGGTCTTTTTTCTGTGCTTTATATACATAGCTAATAATGCCTGGGTATTGTGTTGCTGGTACAGTCGGTCATAAAGTAATAAGTGGAGCAAAGAAAATAGAATTTGAAAATCGCCAAATTGTAAGTAGTACTTTCAATTATATATAAACATATACGAATCTTATGTATTTATGTATAATTATCTCTTATAATATGTATGTACTTATTCAAATATACATACATGGGCACATTTATTAATTCTGAAAACTAAGATGCATTAGTTAAAGACTGCTTCAGCATGCTTTTGTTCTTTATGCACAAATAGTTTTGTATTTTTTAATTGATATCCATATAGGAAATAAAAGAAGAGTATAAGTTAATGAGATGAAATTTAATTTAAAATCTTTCTAAATTAGTTAATATTCACTTATGTATATATGTTTTATAGTTTCATATTGGTTACTATTAAAAGGAAACAAAAATACATTCAATTAAAAAAATACTATTTTGTATCATTTTAACGTTACTAACATGGTATTCAAAAGCGTAATAAAGAATACAGAAATCAACCAGCATGAAATATAACTCTGAATATTTGCTCTGAAAAATATGTGTTTTAGTGAGTATATAAGGTATTTATCCTTAGGTATATAAGGTATTAAAATGCATGGACATTTAGGTTGTAGAAACATTAGGTATTTTTGGGGAGCAGGCAAGATGAAAAATGAGCAATCGTCTTCGCCGGGAATCAAACCACGGACCTCTGGAATACCGGCCCAGCGTGCAGAACCACTATGCTAGGAAGGCGGGAGAAATACCTTATAAGGTTTAATTATTATTTTCATAAGTATTGTATAATATAGTGTTATATTGTCTTAGAATTTTTCCCCCATACATGTATTAGTTTACTCTTTTGATAGTTTGTATCCATACTAATTATCCTTTGTAAAAAGTTTTCTGAAAACTATGCATAACCTATTTGTATAATAAAGAAAATTAAATTCATTGGTTGTTTAAGCCCTAATATTTTAATATCTCATCCTTAAAAATAATTCCAACTATTTTTAGTTCCTCTCAAATGTAATGTAAGCAATAAGAAATAAATTAGTTTTACAAAATCATAACATGATCATTTTTAATTCTTATTGCCAAGTGGCACTCTAAATTTCTATAAGTAATTAAAGAAACATTCTGTATTAAAACCTTTGATTAGCAGTTAAATTGTTATTCCTTGTGAAACAGAACTTTTGCATTCTGTGTTAAAACCTTTGATTAGCAGTTAAATTCTTATTCCTTGTGAAACAGAACTTTTGCATTCTGTGTTAAAACCTTTGATTAGGAGTTAAACTCTTATTCCTTGTGAAACAGATTTTTAAAAACTAGAGCATTGCAGATGCAGTTTTCCTCCCACCACCAATCTTTTTCTTTCTTTCTTTTTTTTTTTTTTTTTTTTCAGGGAAGTGATTTTTGCACATTTATGTAGACACAAATTGTACTTAAACAAAGCTACATAAGCAACGTAAAATGCAAAAGTACATAACCATATCATAATAGTTTATAAATTAAAGATGACATTTAATAATATTTCTCGCTGTGTTCATGTTTTGTCTTACAGATACATATTTTGGAATAAAAATTGTGAACAGCTATCTTATGTGAGATTTTAAAGATGTTGTTATAGAATTTTTTGACAGGACTGAATTTAATAAAGCAAAATGTTGTAATGGGTCATTTTAAAAACTTTGTTTGAATGGAAGAAAATAGCCTGAATATCTGTAGAAGTTAAACATTTGATATAAAAAGTTAATATTTATTAAAATATCTCAAAGTTTTTCTTTGTAGTTGGAGCAATATCATATCACAGGAGAAACAAAACAATTTCCATGTTTTTATTCTTAAGAAGGTATGGTCAGAAGTTGATCCAGTTCATGCAATGAAAATAACTTGTTTTGTATTTATTTATAAATTTGTCCATGTAACATTTTCAGGTCGAGGTCAAGATGTCTGTTCAATACATGTCTTTCAGTGCCCATGCAGATGCTAAAGGAATAATGCAACTTATCCAGCACTGTGAACCATCCAAAGTTCTCTTAGTACATGGTGAAGCTTCCAAAATGGAATTTTTAAAAAAGAAAATCACTCAAGAACTTGGTATGCCCCAGATTTTGTTTTATTAGTCTACTGTTTAAACAATATATCAAACTGGACTTTTGGGCTGATTAAATAAAAAGCCTTTTAATAGATAAACATCCATGTGGCCAAAAATGTATGGAAAATAATATTTAAAATTGTAGTTAGATGTATGTCAGATATAAGTATTCATTAAACATTAATTTAATTACTAAAATCTAGTCAATCTTTTTTTTATTTGTTTGCTTTTTCTTTATTATTTTTATTTTTGTTTTGAAGCAGGTGTTATTATTTGGGAATATGAAACCTTCCAATATGTATGCATTCTACACCCTTAACAACTTCATTATTTGGTTTCTCTGAATGATAGAGTGTTTTCTGGAAAGCATTTTTTTCCAATGCTGTTTGGTTTTACTTGGATATCTATTTCAATTTAATCTTGAAGGGATTTATAGTTTCTTCATCAATCATTCTTTGTCTACATTCATTACTCACTTCATCATCTTCCATTATCAATAAATTTAATCATGTTAGTTTTTTTAATCCAAAGGGGCAGTTTGTCCAGAAGAACTATAAATTTCGTTTTGGCATTTTGTGTCGATTCACGATAAACATTCTTTCACTTTTCAAATTGTTGCCACCAAATATTATCGCCCATATTCTCTTTAAGAAATTAATATGAGAATCTCATAAATGTTGTATGTTCTGGCATTGTATAAAACAAACAGTACTAGAGCCATCAAAATTTGAGTAATTGTAATCTCTATAAATTGGTTTTAATCTATTGATTTGTTTTATTAGATTTCATATTTTGTAACATCCAACGAACTTTGATTAACAAAACAAATGATTCAAGCGAGCCTGCAGACTCTCTGGGAAACAGAAAAATTTATCTCCAGTCAGGCGAGACTGTGTACGAAATTCTAAAGAATGCTCATTAAAAATATTTTTGTGATATTGTGTGAATTGAATTTATGGTTTAAGTACAAGAATGTGATATTTAATAAATAAAAATAAAACAAAATTTTTTTTTAAATGCTCTTGGAGTTAATAAATCTGAAACCTTTCTCTCTCTCTTCTCTTTTTTTTTTTTTGTTTTTTTTTTTTTTTTTTTTTTTTTTTTTTTTTAAATCGTAATATTTTCCAGGTCCATCATTTCATATTAACAAAAATTTAAAAATAGCAGAATTAAACCAAAACTAAGTATATGTACAAAATGATATTAAAAGGCTCTGGTTTAACAGTCATTAGTTGAAACATAGGCTCTTAAAATTATGATTAACAATGCTGTCATTTAATTTTGCTTTACTTTCTGGCAGAAGTAAAGCATCTTAGTAAAGGGCACTAAATTTTTTCCTTAAGAATGCAAAATCATAATTAAAATAATATAGACTACTAAAACGGAGATCTGTGGGATTCTAAAATACTGACACCTCTGTATTTAATCAACAGCCAATATTCAACCCACATTGTTTTTGCACTTCAGAAAAAGTTTTTATTTTTTTAATTTATTTCTATTGTTTTGTTGGGCTTTTTAATTTTACCAGAAGCTGTGTTTAGAACATTATGAACACATACCTCTTGCTGGTAATTGTTCCAATCTAATATTGTTTGTTGGCCATATACAACTATCCATATTGAGTCCATTAATACACATTTGTTTTTGATGTTATGATCCCATAACATTGAAAATAATCCACTGCTTTCTGTTCTGTAGAAGGCAGATTCCAAATTTTAATAATTTTTTTTTTTTTCAAAATGCTTTGAAAAAGTACATCAATAACAGTTAATTTGTATCCTTTGTTCATAAAAAGAAAATGTGACTTGTCAGTAATCAATCAGAGCTACATCAAACAAAAGTGCAGATGGTTATGAGTGTGTTGTTACATCATGCTTGTCTATAAATGGCGCTGAACTGTGCTGCTTGCCGAAAACGCAAATGTACATAACGCTTCTGAATATTCTACAGAAATTTGACTTTCAGGTCTTTTTTTTTTCTTCTATTAGTAAAATTCCTAGTTCCATATCTAAGGACCCCATTCTGGATAGGAATTTTTGGGGTATTTACAGGATTTCTTGCCCATGTGGTTTATTTTATGTTGGTCAAACTAAGAGAGCTTTAAAATTTTGCGTTAAAGAACATGAGGCATATTAAGAAAAAGGAAACACTGAAATCTTGTGTTGGCCAAGATTTTCTAGAGGTATTTCTCATTCAAAAAAATCTTTCTGTTCTAGTTATTGACCCTAATTTCAATTCATCTTTACCCTCAGACTAAAAGGAAATTATGTTTTACTTTTCTTGCTTCATCAATAGATAGCACCAGCAGTTTGACTTTTTTACAGTCATTCTTGTCTTATCACCATATTCTCTCGCACATTTGCACTTAGGCAGCTGAAGAAAGTGGTTCTGTATTTAAACCATTGAAACTAGTTCTGCAAAATTTTCAAACATTATGTTGATTCCTGTTGTTTGATTTCTCCAGTAATCACTATTCAGCATGTTAGTTAGACCTAAAATATGAGATACTTATTTCCTTAGAAAAGTAGGTAGAGTCAAAAGTCGTTAATCCAGACTCGTCGGGACTTCGGCGTTCAAGAGATAGATCACAGTTAAATCTCGTAAGAGGCCTGCAGAAATTCTAAATTAAAAATGAAACCGTAATTCTGAATAAAGAAAGTATGATCTAAAGGGTATCAAATTACAAAAACGCTAATATTATGTTTACTTTATTAAACATTCTTTCTTTAAGGTGTTCTTTACGTTGTTTCGTTTTTTATGTATAAACATTCTCTAATTCATAAACAGGCATATTTCTGTTCAGTTACAAAGTTTGCTGTCAAGTCCATAATTGCTGTGTTGCGAATACGACTAATTGGCAATCAAAATTTTTCGTTTTCAATAACCTCGTTACTTTCTTTGCTATAGATGCGAATTTAAATCAATCTCAATATGGATTCATCGGATATGAATCTAATGTATAAGGATTATAGGCAAATAAACAACATCATCTCCCCTGAAGATAAGGATGTGCTACGAGCACTTCAATTCATTGCGCGTCAGCGTTAAAGATAAACAAGTTTAGATAAATAAAGGATATGCCTTTATCCAGTTTTTAGCAGGCATTCCTTTTTTAATGACCTTTGAAACTACTTTGTTTGTAGAACCTTACATATAGAAATATATAGCGAAATTCTATTGACTCCTTGAAAGTTCAATCTACTTTTATAAATTGCTCTAACATTTGGAATAATAAGCCAGATCCAATTGGAAATTGAGGAACAACGCATCTGCAACATAACTAATTAGATAATTTATAGCTTAGCTGTTATACCGTCCTTAGACATAAATGTTGCATTGGTAAACATATTTGCGCACACGCTATCGCAACGAAAGATCTTACGCGCATGCATCAAAGCGACGCATGCGCAGAAAGTTTGTAGCTTTGAGGTCCGGATTATATATCATTTCGGATTATGGGTGTCCGAATTAACGACTTTTGACTGTATTTAAAAGTTTCATTGCAGCTGCTATTATGATTGCATCACTTTCTCAAGTGCAGGAGGAAATTTGTTTTTGAATTTTACCAGACTCTTGGCTAGTTTTCCACAGGAGTGTTATAATGTCGATACTTTGAGAAAGGGTTAAGGGATAATGGAACTTTCAAAAGTGACTGCAAAGATTTTTTTCCAAAAAGATGCATTAACCAAAAATATCAATTTGGAGAGATTGTTAAAGAATATATGTAGTCTCTTGAGAAAACAAAATTAGAAAATCACAGATCTTGTAGCAGATTAAATAATTGATGAATTATTGGTGATTATTTCAAAAATCAAACATTAGATTTTAACTATTTCTTCAGAGTAATATAGTATTTAATACCTAATAGTGTTGCATCATATAAATGGTTTAAAATCTATTTTAAATTTTCAATGAAAATTATTATTCATTATTTTGTTTTATTTATATA